CAGAACCCAGATGTGTTCTTCCTCCTAAATGTCATGTGTCTATCTGCTGTTCTGATGAAGTTCTGAGGCTCAGAAATGATGGAAAAAGTCCATTAAAGTGATCAATCTGGACCCTTTGTTCTGATGTGGTTGGGTTTATATCTAGAGACTGACCTGCAGGATGACGCTGTCCGGTTGGCTGAAGTTGGGGGAACTCGTGCGAGCGTTTCCACTTCTCCCTGGAGTTGAAGGCCACAAACCGAGCAACCTCCGACCACATGTCAGGACGCTGCAGACACAGAAACACTCTTATCAGTCCAAACACTCTTCCTGCTGCAGGAAGCTTCACTGGATCACATGTAAAAAAAAAAAAAATTATATGAAGCTTGAAGTCCTGAGCTGCTGATCATTGCTGTTCCTGTTCTCAAAGCTCCTCATAGTTTCTGTTCCCTTCAGATGAAGAAGGTCTCAGAATGCTTCATTCCTCCACGACTCCATCATCCTGGTTTAAACAGTGTCAGTAGCTTTAGATGAGCTGCTGCTGACCCCGCCCCCTGATGCTGGCCCCGCCCCCTTCAGAAGAACACTCTGTGTGATGGACAGATGAATGAGTGACAGCAGGTCTTTCTGTCCTCTGACTTCCTCTCTGAGGATCATCTTACAGTAAATCTGAGTGAACTCTCAGCTCATGGTGGTTCTGAACTCCTGCGTTTGGTGAGTTTGTCAGACGACGTCATAAAATCAGGTTTAAATGAAGCGATGCTGCTCAACGTGTCGCCTGGAGGAGGTCCACTGGTTCCTCCTGGTTGTGCTGCCTGACACCAGAACCATCTGGAGATAAGAGCAGCTTATTGTGAGTTCAGCTGATATTAAAATGATGTGAGCACTGAGAGCAGGAGAGAAGCTCCAGAAGCTCACAGATTTCCTCTCCCAGAATATTGTCAACATCAGACACTATGTCTTGTTTTGTTGTGAATCTTTTTGCACCAGTTTAAGGTGGAAATGATCTTTTTTTAAATGAGATTTGAATCCTGATTGTTTGTTGTTTGTGTGATGTCAGACGTGTGATGTCAGACGTGTGATGTGACTCACTGCCTGAAGTTGAACAGTGGCATGGTGACCCAGCCCAGAGCCTCGATGCTGCGTCGCTGCTTCCCCTTCTCCTCGGCGCCACCAGGCGGTGGCAGGCAGCTGGCATACAGCGTCACCGTCAGCTGCGACTCTCGGGGCAACTGGTTGATCTGCACTGGAAAACACACCCTGCAGGGGGCAGCAGGGGGCAGATCTACATTTGTTTGACACTTAGTGTTCATGGAACACATTGGCTGTTGTGTGCAGAACTCTATAGAGCTCAGAGGCTCTGTTCAACCTGCTACATCACCATGGTAACGATGCCATACAGCTACATCACCATGGTAACGATGCCATACAGCTACATCACCATGGTAACAGTGCCGCACAGCTACATCACCATGGTAGCAATGCTGCACAGCTACATGACCGTGGTAACGATGCCGCACAGCTTCATCACCATGGTAACGATGCTGTACAGCTACATCACCATGGTAACCGATGCTGTACAGCTACATCGCCATGGTAACCGATGCTGTACAGCTACATCGCCATGGTAACCGATGCTGTATAGCTACATCACCATGGTAGCGATGCCGTTACCTCACCGCTGGTTCTGAACAGAGAAGTGTCTGACAGGTGAGCTCAGGTACCTACCTCTGGTCCCACACCACCAGGTGAAACAGGTATTTGCTGACTGGCTGTTTGCTAGTGTGCTGCGGTGCACAGAGCTCCGCCCCCCCATGAGTCAACGAGCAGGACAAGAAGAAACCCTCATAGCTGTGACCAATGAGAGAGAAGGACAAGAGCGTGATCTAATGATGTTAATACTTTTTAAAATCAGTGCTTCACAAGGACAGGAAAAAAACAGACATGACGTGAAATCATCAAGAAAAATCTGAATAAGATCTGGAATCATTCACTGCTGAATCAACCAGATCTGAACTGTGTCTCCAGAGGAAGGTTCCAGACTGGATATGAAAAACACCAGAACAGGCATTTCTATAGAAGCCTGAGCGCAGTGTGACATGTGAAGAAGGTGCGTTTGTTCTGCTGCACCTGGCAGCCCAGGTGATGGGGATGCGATGGGCAGCGTGCACGTTGAAGGACAACACGTTGGTGACCAGGCCAGCCTCCTGCACCGGCGCCGTGCAGCTCAGGCTCTGCAACGTCGGGTGGAAGTTGGCGTTGAACGTGCTGCAGTACAGCTCCACCAGATCCAAGATGGCCGCCGTCAGCTTCTCCACCACTTTCTCTGCAACAACAAATGTTTATGAACTATGGATCCATGACAGGAACTTTCTGAGGATCAACACCACCAACGCTTTAAAATTCTGCATTTTTGTAGGGTTAGAGAGACACTGCATCTTAAAATGGATTCATTGTTTTTTCTGAAAACAAAAATAGAGGAAAAATGACAGTTCTGAAAACATCTGACAGTCTCAGTAGAAACTGTCAGCAGACAGGTGAGTCGGTACCTCTGTTCTCTCTGACTGCCAGCACCGAGGCGTCCTGAGGAACAGAAGACAGACAGACTCAGAACCGGATCTGAAGGTTTATCCAGTAAACTCTGAACCAGACGGCTCGTCTCTCACCTTCAGGACTTTGGGCTGCAGCCGACATGGGCATGCTGGGAGCTGGCTGAGCGCCGCCGTCACGTCGGGCGTCTCCACGGCAGCCAGCGAGCTGCACAGCGCCTTCACCGATTGGACAAGACGCTCCACGTGCAGCGGTAGCTCCACCTACAGACGGACAGATGGACAGTTGACACTGCTTGGGTTGTGTGTCTGTAGTTGTGTGTCTGTAGATGTGTGTCTGTAGTTGTGTGTCTGTAGTTGTGTAGTTTGTCTGTATTTGTGTGTCTGTAGTTGTGTAGTTGTGTCTGTAGTTGTGTGTCTGTAGTTGTGTAGTT